ACACAACAGCTAGAATTCACTGGAGCTTACATAAACTCAGTAGAAGCAAAAGCTTCAAAACCAAGATTCCAATTCCACACAATGAATATCGGTGGTTAAAAAATAGCCCTACAGTCTCAGCATGAACATGTTTACAAATGTTAGGACATATGTCAGCTTCCATGTTCATGACCAAACACGCAAGACTACACATGCTTTGCCTCCAGGGATGGCTACACACAGCATGCATACTACATAAACAAAACACTAACATTACCAATGACAATCATACAATTCATGCAGTGGTGGAAAAGACCTGGAAATCTGTGCATGCGGGTCTCCTTAAAATGAGAAATAGCATCTGTTCAGATTACCACAGATACATCTCTGATTACAGAGACGTTGGATGTATAGTATTAACAGGAATGTTGTAAGCAAGAGACAAGAAGTGATTCTTCTGTTTTACTCTCTGCTGATTAGGCCTCAATTGGATTATTTTGTTCAATTCTGGGTACCACAGTTCATTAAAGATGTGGACAAATTGAAAAAGGTCCAGAGAAAGCAGCAAAAAATGTCTAGAAAATATGACCTAAAGACTGAGAAGAATTGGGTTTGTTTAGTCTGGAAAAGAGAAGACCAAGATGGGACATAACAGCTTTCAAGTACCTAAATGGGTGTTACAAGGAGGAGGGAAAAAATATTTTCCTTCACCTCTGATGAAAGAACAAGAAACAATAAGGTTAAATTGCTTTAGGTTGGACATTAGTTTGGACATTAGGAAAAACTTCCTATCTGTCAGAGTGGTTAAGCACTGGAATAAATTTCCTAGGGAGGTTGTGGAATCTCCAACACTGGAGATATTTAAGAACAAGTTAAACAAAAACCTGCTAATAGCACACAAGGTGCCTATTGCACATCTCAACCAGACACTGGTACCAACACCAGGTACCAGTCTGGTCAGTGGCACCAGGGTGAATGTGCAGCTAAAGTAGTGGATCACCTAGTAGGAACACATCTCAAAGAACCTCAGCTACTGCATAAGGTGTAGCTGCCATAATCATTGACATCTGTTGAGTTCATATGAAAGCATAAAAAACTTTACATTTGGCAGGTCTGACCTGGATTGGGCAATATAGGACCCAGAATAATGCAAAGCCCTTTCCATTAGCTTCCTTGCTGTTACAGCAGTGAAAATGGCCTTTGCAGCACCAAAGTACTCTTAGCACTGATATTTTGAAAGACATTCTTAGGTGAATGATACAAGGCACCAAATACATCTGGCATTTCGTACATGATGTTCTGTTCAGCTGCTATGTGGTAAGCTTTTGAGTAGCCCAGAAGAGCAAAGCAGAAGTTTCCCGGTTTTTCTGGGCCACTTTTTGCCTTTCATAAGTCTGGAGGAATAACATTTCTAACTATCCTTCTTACTCACAAAATCAAATTTTCAATCCTCTGTTTTTTTCCATCAAGTAAATTATCTGTTTGTTCCTGAAATTGTGGTGCCAACACAGCTGTATGTAGCCACTGTAATTTGATATATTTTTTCTTTTTATGGTTTAGCCAATACATTCAACCAACAGGTATAAAAAACAGTACAGAACTCCTAGTGTGTTACTTACACTGAGAATATAAAGTACACTCTGCAATGAAAAGCTAATTTATATGCAGAAAAGTATAGTGATTAAATGAAAACTAGAAATGTTAATGAAATGTAATAAAATATTCAATAATCAATATGCAGATCTACCATTAATAATGATAGATTTGCATTTTGCAGCAGAATATTAAAAGATTACATTCCTCTCCTGGATTTATAATTCTCTGCTTCCGTATATCAAAATTAAAGAGTAACATGTTTATATAAGCCAAAATTCTTCTCTTAATATGAAGTATAAGCAATTCTCTGAGTAATCAAGCATAGCTGGTTATTTTCGTCATATATCTAAATATATTTCTCTTGTGTCTGACTTGGTTAGATGCAGCTTGTACATTCGTCTCAACCATGACAAATTATAAAGGCTGAGGTTTTTTTCTCAGCTCAAGTAATGCCCCTTCAGTGCCCCACTACCCCAGGATTTTTCTGGGCTACTTCAAAAAATCTTGATATTAAATCATGTTTGTTATCTCTCTTGGATATTTATAACATGCTTATCGCAACGTCTGCTTTTTTCACAGGATGATTATAATGTATCTCTTCTTTTTGGTGAATCTAGACAATGAAATGACTCAAAAATTGATTTTCATGAGCCTGAGCACACTGTTCTGACTTAGTCAATATCCCCTTCGCCAACATGGGAGTCATTGTTGCGGCATGGCTTTAGATTTTGAAAGAAATCCCTTAAAAACATGCACTTTGGGTGAAAAGCCTGAGGTTAGGAAAGTAAGGACCCCACTTAATACAATGGATTCACGGTTATATGATTCTCTAGTTTAGGGATATAAATTAGTTGGATTCGGGCTTAGCTTCCCTGAATTCAGGCATAAAATTTGCATCTATATTTTTGCACCAAGAAAAGATATTGTGGGCACAATTCCAAACAGTTGCAACTCAAGATACCTGGTTTGTATTTAGAGAAACAACTGCACAACCAGGCTACATCTAGACTACTGACTTCTTTTGGAAGAAGCTTTTTTCAGAAAAGATGTTGTAAAAAACCTTCTTTCGAAAGAGAGTGTCCATACTGCAAAAGTGCATTGAAAAAGTGATCTGCTTTTTTGAAAGAGAGTGTCCAGACTGAATGGATGCTCTCTCGCATGTAAGCTGTGATTGCTATGGACAGACTGGCCACAAGGACACCTATGCTTTTTCCTGTTTCCTCTCCTTCCAAATGAACTCCCTCTTCCCCGTCCACACATGCCTTTTGTGAAAGAGCTCTTTTGCAAAAAGGCTTCTTCGTAGAATGAGGATTACTAATGCCTCTGTTTTCCCGACAAAACTCTGCAGTGTAGACATACCCCCAGTAAGAAAGATCCTGAAAATGTTTAATGCAAAAACTTTCCATTAAAGCCAAAGAGAGATACACAATAGTGTTAGGAATATTACTGTTTCCTTTTCCCTAATAAAGTCGCTTGTTTGGCATTGGGAGCAAGTAAATACATAAGAACATAAGAATGGCCATACTGGGTCAGATCAAAGGTCTCTCTAGCCCAGTATCCTGTTTGCCAATAGTGGCCAGTGCCAGGTTCTCCAGAGGGGGTAGATTGAAGACAATGATCAAGCAATTTGTCTCCTGACATCCATCTCCAGCCTTGACAAACAGAGACCAGGGACACTATTCCTTACTATTCTGTTATAGTCCTTGCCTTCACAGCCTCTTCTGGCAAGTTCCACAGGTTGACTGTGAACTGTGTGAAGAAGAACTTTCTTTTATTAGTTTTAAACATGATACCCATTAATTTCATTTGGTGTTCTCTAGTTCTCAAATTATGGAAACAAGTAAATAACTTTTCTTTATTCACCCTATGCACATCACTCATGATTTTATATACCTCTGTCATATCCCCCCTTAGTCTCTTCTTTTCTAAACTGAAAAGTCCCAGTCTCTTTAGCTTCTCCTCATGGGATCCGTTCCCAACCTTCAATCATTTTAGTTGCCCTTTTCTGAAACTTTTCTAATGCCAAAATATCTTTTTTGAGGTGAGGAGACCACATCTGTATGCAGTATTCAAGATGTGAGCATTCCATAGTTTTATATAGGGGAAGTAAGATATTCTTCGTCTTATTTTCTACGCCTTTTTAAATAATTCCTAACATCCTATTTGCTTTTTTGACTGCCGCTGCACAGTGCGTGGATGTTTTCAGAGAACTATCCATGATAACTCCAAGATCTCTTTCCTGATTAGTTGTAGCTAAATTAGCCTCTACCATATTGTATGTATAGTTGGGGTTATTTTTTCCAATGTGCATTACTTTACATTTATCCACATTAAATTTCATTTGCCATTTTGTTGCCCAGTCACTCATTTTGCTGAGATCTTTTTGAAATTCTTCACAGTCTGCTTTCGTCTTGACTATCTTGAACAGTTTAGTATCGTCCGTAAACTTTTCCACGTCACTGCTTACCCCTTTCTCTAGATTATTTAAGAATAAGTTGAACAGGATTGGTCACAAGACTGACCCTTGGGGAACGCCACTAGTTACTCCTCTCCATTCTGAAAAATTACCATTTATTCCTACCTTTTGCTTCCTGTCTTTTAACCAGTTCTTAATCCATGAAAGGATCTTCCCTCTTATCCCATGACAACGTAATTTACACAAGAGCCTTTGGTGAGGGACCTTGTCAAAGGCTTTCTGGAAATCTAAGTATACTATATTCACCGGATGCCCCTTGTCCTCATGTTTGTTAACCCCTTGAAAGAACTCTAATAGATGAGTAAGACATGATTTCCCTTTACAGAAACCATGTTGACTTTTGCCCAACAAATTATGTTCTTCTATGTGTCTGAGAATTTTATTTTTTACTGTTGTTTCAACTAATTTTCCCAATGTTGACGTTAGACTTACCAGTCGGTAATTGCCAGGGTCTCCTCTAGAGTCCTTTTTAAATATTGGCATTCTGTTAGCTGTCTTCCAGTCCTTGGGTACAGAAGTACTCCTTTCTGTGCGTCTTTACCATTTTCACATGACAGGAAATGAATGGAAATGGGTGGTACTCTCCAGCAAAACAAAAACAAAAAAAATGTGGGAAAGTAATCCTAATTTTGACCCTTATTTTGTACCAAATATCCTGAGTCTCATACCAACTCATTATTAATTTAGTTAAATAAAAGTGAGCATTACATCATATTATTATCCTTACACTATAGAATAAATGGGCAGGAAATTGTATTTGTGCAATATTATCCAGCAACTGCTTTGCCATTGCTCCCCAGCTCTCCCATTCAGTTATCTTTATACCGGTGGCTAGTTCCTGACTGCTAGCTACTGTGTTTGCAATCCTGCACTATAAGCAAATAAAGAAAGTTCAAATATGATTGCTTGAGGCATGTGATTTAGAGAAGATTTTCTTTTTGCCTTCTAGATTGATCAATGGTAAACATGGAATTACTATTAAAAACTATAGTACAAGATCACTTCTCACTGTCACCAATGTAACAGAGGAGCATTTTGGCAACTACACATGTGTCGCTGCCAACAAGCTGGGGGTGACCAATGCCAGCCTGCCTCTCAACCGTAAGTAACATGAATGTATTACAAAAAGTTCCTAATTGTGTTTAATTTTTCTACAGCTGTGGATGGAAAAGGATAAGAATTCTTCAGCATGATTTTGTTTGTCTTCACTGGCAGTGTGAAAATAATAGCACAAATTCCTTAATAACTGCTAATATCACACAGAGCTACCATTTGCTTTCTGAAAATTGTAACACTGAGCTTTAGAAAGATCTTTATTTGGGGGGGGGGCAAAGAGAAGCTTAAAGTGAATCCAAAAGCATCACATATTTAGTGGCAAAGGGATTGCTACTACACATGATACTAAGTTTGGTTTCTTTCTCTATTCTGATGAAGTTGTAACTAGAATCTATTGTTGTCAGATTATCTCTCCTTGGTATGCCCAAGAAACATTCAAAATTTTACATACTGGAGGTACAAAAATCCATGGTCATAGTAAAAGCATGAAATTAAAATGGCAAAATCCATCTTCATGGAATACCCATCATGAATGCCTAAGATTTTACTGTAAACAAAACAAGAAACCCTTCCAGTCTGTTCAAGGAAATAATACTTGAACATGGACAAACCAGGGAAGTACACTTATAGGCTACATCTACACTAGTCCCTTTTTCGGAAGGGGCATGCTAATTTTGAAAGTGGGAATAGGGAAATCCGCGGGGGATTTAAATATCCCCCCGCGGATTTAAATAAACATGTCCGCCGCTTTTTTCCGGCTTAGGGAAAAGCCGGAAAAAAAGCGTCTAGACTGGCCCGATCCTCCTTAATAAAGCCCTATTCCAGAGGATCTCTTATTCCTACTTCAAAGTACTTTGAAGTAGGAATAAGAGATCCTCCGGAATAGGGCTTTATTCCGGAGGATCGGGCCAATCTAGACGCCTTTTTTCCGGCTTTTCCCCAAGCCGGAAAAAAAGCGGCGGACATGTTTATTTAAATCCGCGGGGGGATATTTAAATCCCCCGCGGATTTCCCTATTCCCACTTTCAAAATTAGCATGCTCCTTCTGAAAACGGGGCCAGTGTAGACGTAGCCATGGGGATTAACACTTTGAAAACTCTACCCTACAGATTTTGTTACATTTGTCCCAGTTCTCATAAATCCCTCAGAAAACCTGTCTGAATCTTTCTGAAAAGCCAAGAGAGGTTGTGATGGACAAAGCAGTATAGCTTGGTGGTTAACACTCAATTTTTTTTAAATAGAATGGGTCTCAAATACTCTATTTCAGTTATCCTCCACATTTAGAATTAAGATGGTTGTCTGTTTTGTAATATTAATGTAGTTAATCTGATAATCATGACAACTATAAGGGGATCTATAAAACGTAACATATTATTGTTATTAATAATAAAAATGTGCATAATAAAAATAGTGGGAGATGAGCAGTGGAACAGAATGACAGAAAATGATGGAACTAGGGGTTCTTCCTGCATTCCATGTTGTAGAATCGGACAGCAATAGTAGCACTGTGACTGTTGAGATTTTGAGTGTGCAAGGAAAGAGGAAGGGGGTGCTTTACAAAATTTTGTTCTATTATAATAGTGTTTCACCAGTTATGTTGTGGCTTGTTAATGAACTGCACACAAATAAGGAATTTGAGATTTTTCCTGTGTCATGATTTGCATATTCCCAGGAACCAGGAAGGGAGATTCTCATGCAAAACTCCCGTAGTAGTGATTCAGTGAAGTATTTGATTCTATGGTTATGTAACAGAATTTTCTTTTGGAAAGATAGCTTATTTTTGTTAAAGTGGGAGATGTAGCAGCATGTAACATCATAATCTGCAAACCATTGTTTTAGAGGATTTTTTTTCAGTTAACAGTAAAGAGTTATTTGATGATGAGACATTTCAGTTATGTGGATAAAACATAATCTGATGGCAACATGCCCTAAAATATTTTACAAATTAGTCTTTGACATCTTATTTAAATGAATATTAATAAAAATGAAGAGTGAGTGCATTAGTATGATATAAAATGAGCCATTGAGTAGTTAGAATAGTATCATTAGAAAAGCTGCCAATAATTACTGAGATTGCAGAGCCCCTGTTGGATGTCCTCCTAAGTTCTTCTACACAAGCACAATCAGTGTAGGAAGATAAATTTTTTTATCAGGATTCTGTCACACAGCCCTTCTGTAGTATAAAAGCAGAAAATATTGAGTGCAAAAGACTACACACCTCTGCTATTAGGCATTGGCAAATTTCCCAGTGTCTGAGCATCTGATAATTGGATGCTTCTATATATGCATTTCTAAAAGGAACTTCTTTAAATGTGGCAGCAGAAAGCCAGCATTTTCTTCATCTACAGGTTCTTATATGGCAGGTAAATGACATCTCAGTTCTCAAGAGACAGTACTTGTTTCTTAGGGGAGGTCAGATCTTTGCTGTATTCTCTTGTTGTAGTATCTCTACAGCAAAGTATTCATTAAAAGAGTTCAAATGAAAAAATAAGAGACTACTTAAGATAGGATTACTAGGAACGGGAACATGGGTATCACTGATGTGTAAAATGCTGTTTAAGCCAGCAGAGAGGCTGGATGTTGGCATGGGGACAGATGAATTAAGTTACAGATTTTTTGATGTGACACATCACAAGTATTTGTATGAATTAAGTGAGTTACACAACTATGGGATAATAATGCCAGCTGGGTAGGAGGAGTAGCGGGGAACCTGCTGAAGGCAGTTGTTTTCTAAACATGGGAAAGGTAGGATGATACTGATGTGGGCAAAAGAAGCTGGTCAGGATAATTTCTGTTTACAAAAAGAGAGAAGGTAGGAAATAAATTGGAACAGATTTGTATATGAAACTGACTTTTTGGGGGCTCATCCAAGCCTTTCAGATTCTATAACTATTGTGAGGTTTGCCACATCCCTAATTGAAGAACATGAAGGGTTCTGTACATGTGCGATCTAGCTATTAAAAATCCATTAGCAATAAAGTGAACTATGCAGAGAAAAACACAGAGACCCAGTGATTCCTATACATGAATAATGAACAGCAGTTTGCTAATTATTCATGGCCAAATCTTTGATATATTCCAGATCTGTTCTTTTACAGATTACTTCCTGTGTTTTCTTCATACGCATATGTGAACTGGATGGTCTTCCTTAGGCACCACTTTAGAGTATTCACTTATTTTATGGTCCCATCCTGCCATCTGTGGGCCCTATTCATTAAATGGTTTGCACCAATTTAAGCAGATTTTCCACAGAGTTTCCTGTACTTAAAAAGAGGAAGAATGCAGGCTGTTCTATGAGAGAAGCATGGATTTTATGATTCATTAAACTCATTTTCTCAAGAGAACAAGTATTATTATGTTACGTACCCAAGATAAAAGGTTCCATTTACAAAAGAGCAAGGCAGGGAGTTGGTGGAGAATGGAATAGTCCTTGTATAAATATGCAGTTGTCTTCTAAATTAACTTGGTTTTAAATAAAAATAGAAAGCATTTTCCTGAAAACAAATTTGTGAATCTTCCCTTCTGGTCTGGTTAACTCTAGCCACCAACACAGGTTTTGCATAAATACTTTCTCTGCTGCTCCAGAAAAAAACAAATAGTCAGAATATTTACTGCTAAAATGTTCATCTCCTACAGCATTCTGCCATGCTGTTAACTGATTGGAAATGTCAGATGAGATACCTTCATGTGTGACATAGTATATACACTTTATAAGGGGGGTTGTTGGTTGATTTGACAAGTAAGATACTCATGTATTTTATGGCTAATGTATAGTCAGTATATTTTTTCTTGTTTTTAATTAGTAATTGGAGAAAGTGTGTGGAAAACTTTGGGTACTTCAAATTGAAGAATGTTCAGTGAGCCTGTAATGAAGGATATTAGTTTTACTACTTATGCCAGTATTCCACCTACCATTGGCACTGTTTTGGTGGCACTTAAGAAGAAAAAGCTGCTTCTTGTGAGCTCTCATTCACCAAAAGAAAACCCTTGCATTCTTTATACCAGTTGCTGACTTCTCAACCATCCTCCTCTTTAGAGGAATGAGAGGATGAAGGGCCCACTGATGCTTGACCTCTGTCTTATTTTTTCGCAAACGATTCTGTGGCATCCCTGATAGTCCCACCATATGGATGACCTTAAAAGTTATCAAGAACTCTTGGAGATATTGGACTTCATGTTTTTTTTGCTTCAATAAAAGTTTTATTGTTATTCTACACTGTTCAGATGAGGCAACCTATGATAATGCCTCCTCAGAAAATAAGTGGATTTAGGTGCTAGAAGGGATCTGTGGTTAAATCTAGCCTCCATGTCAGCTGCATCAAGTCTTATGGAAGAGATTTGAGACCAGTTTACCTGCCTCAGAGAGGACATGACACTCTAGATTGTCTACTTTGACAGCCAGGAAAAGAGTATAGAAGAGATTAGACCTTCCAGGGTAGAATCCATATGCATCAACTATGCTGCAAACACGGAGGACTAATTAACAAATGCACTAATGAGATGTATTCCCTTATCAGTTTGTCCCCTCTTCTGGGCCAGTTTCCTGAGGAAAACTAGAAAGAAAGCTAAGGTTCACATTGCTGAAGAATATCAGGAAGCAGAGCATGACTTGTGATTTATCTGAAGTATAAATCCCCACTATAAGTCGTCCCGGTATACATCTGTTCTGCATTAAAGTTATATACAGAGTTGATGCATTTTATATATATGGAACTGATGAATTATAAGTCCCTTCTCATTGCTCGCTCATAAGTCATACAACCCCCCCTCCCCCTCAAAAAAAAACCAATTTGCACAAATGAAAGTCAGCTGTGGGAAAAAAATTCCCCACTTTAAATTGTTTCGCTATAAGTCCAAGTTTTTTGGAACATATCTTGGATATAGGGTGCATCTACACTGCACCATTATTTTGAGATAACTAGCGTTATTTCAAAATAACAATGCGAGCATCTAAACAGCCAGTCTGTTATTTCAAAATAATTTAGAAATAATGGGCAGCTTATTTCAAAATCTGTAAACCTCATTCTACGAGGAATAATGTCTAT